GCTGCTGGTATCTCCTTCATCGACCATGACCTGAATGATTTTATCATGGTTGCCCCCGAGGATCTGACCAGTGTCCACCAATCTGGGGACAATGAACGTTTGCAGCCCGTCTCGGTGTGCCCTTAGCTGAGGAGAAATGTGCCGAACCCTCTACCTGTCTCATACTTCTCAACCTTCTCCTGTGGAAGGAGGAGCTGTCCTTTGTCAGAGTCCATCTCAAAGCTGGAAAAGGTGATGATACCTTGGCGGAGTGGGCTGGCAGGGAGTGGTACTGGCGGTACGAGTTGGAGTCCCTGTTTCACAATCTTTAGAGTGCGACAAAGGTCATTCCACCAGGTAGGGCCTTCTTACACTGGATTTCGGACCACTTTAGGGGTGGTCTGGCATCACATTAGGCTGAACCTGGGCTTTACAGCAGACTTGCAGTTCCTGTTACCAAACTGGAATGGGGTCAAATTCCTCCAACCCCATCGGGAGACTGACAATCACTTCAGATGCCTCTGGTTTATGAGGCTGTTGGGCGTACACTAGCCCCTGGTGGTTCTAGCTCCACTGGCTCAATTTAATGTATCACACACAAATCACTGTGAAGGAACTAATTCCAAATATCCTTGGTGTGATTATCGGGGGACACATTCGCTTTTGCTGCAACAACTAGGCGGTGGTGGCAGTTGTGAAGTCTAAGGATGCGTGACATCCACACCTTATGTAATTACAGCATTCCTTATTCATGTTTGAGGACATTCTGTAGCTACAGATCTCAGCCACTTATATTGCAGGGAAGGATGATGTATTGGCTGATGACCTCTCTTGTAACAGGTTATCCTCACTGTCACCCGAGATGATGCCACATCCGTCACCCCTTCCACTTATTGCTCAGGACCTCCTGTACAATCCCAATCTGGACTGGCCATCTTGAAGCTTGATGGAGCTGTTCAGCGTTAGTGTATCCTGGGAATTGCCACCTTAACTCAGGGAACGTATAAGTCAGCTATTTGTCATTTTAATGCCTTCTGCACTAGGTATGGTGTCAGCTGTCCTTTCCAGACCTTATGATTCCCCATTGACAAAATTTGTCTTTGCGGCTGCCGTTTTGAAGCTTTTGCTTATTTGTGGACTGGACAGTCTACCTACTCTGGGCAAGTTTTTGATTTGGGGTGGCTACTACAGCTGCTCTGGTTGGTGTGGAAGACTCTACCATCTAGTCACAAGGTCGGTGGTCGAGCAATGCATATCAGATCTATCTCAGAACCCCGAGATCAGAGCTGGCTCATTTTTTGCATCTCAGACCAGACTGGACTGGGTTGTGTGTGGGCAAAGGCATGGGTAAGAGAATAAGTGGGTAAACTGGGACTTACATTAGTTGTTTTGTGTTTAATGATGCTGATTCAATGTCCCACTTCTGGGTTTTGGGTAGGTCCCATTGGTGGTTGAACCACCCATCAATGTTAACGTATTATTAATTGGGGTGGGTCTCGTTATAATCCATCTTTTTAGTGTCTTTACCTCTAGGTGTACCTAGGGGGAGGGGAAGGGGTCCTCTTTCTCTCTACTGCTTTTTATTAATGGTAGTTATAATGATAAAACATGATGATAGTTTTAGAATATTCCACAGAAATTGATAATTCAGTTACAATTTAATAAAATAATAGTATTGTGATAATCATAATAAGGCATAGTATTAGTGAGTCAACCTGTAGCCTTGCATAACGCGTACCAAGTTCCCTCCTTCTCATACCAGTAGTTATGTGGTACTTGATAGTTTTAAACTCTGTTAAAATTAGGTTAATGGGGAAGGAGCCACGCATGTGTAGTATTGCTGTATCAACCTGGCAAGTCCCAGAGGTTCTTGTCCTCCCTCCCTCCCTCCTGCCACTATAATTGTTTCGTAATGGTGCTCTATTCTTTTCACCTTCGATTGTGACAGATGTCACCCTGTTGGGTTTTGGGCAGGTCTCTTGGGTGGTCCAACCACCGTCATTGTTCAACCATGATTTATTGGGGTTAGATTCATTGTATTCCCCCATCTGTTTTCTGTCTTCACCTCTAGGTGTACCTAGTGGAGGGGAAGGGTTTACTTCTCCCTGCTGCTTATAAGTAATGGTAGTTATAATGATAAAGCATGATAATAGTTATAGAATATTTTGCAGAAATTAATAATTTAGTTAAAATTTAATAAAATAATAGTATTGTGATACTCATAATAATAAGGCATCGTATTAGTTAGTCAGCCTTTACCCTTGCATAGTATGTACCGGGTTCCATCCTTTCCTTAAGGTGGGTTCAGAATATCTTGCGTTGCAGACCGTCAATTGCGCTTAACTTTCACGAAATAAACGTTTCTAGCGTTTCATGGTTCATAATTAATTTTTGTGGAACATACGTACGCATACGTATATACGGAGTGCTGAAAAGGTGTGGTAATACCACACCTATCTCAGAGTCAAAATGGAGGAAGATCATTTGTTGGCTATAGTTTTGTCACTGTATGCTCGCAGAAGACGCAGAGGAAGGAAAAGAAGTGTCTGGGTACGTAGAATTTACCAACAAAGGTTGAAGCAAGGCGAGTATCATAATCTTTATCAAGAAATGAGACTACATGACCCTGAGAGTCACTTTAGATACATAAGAATGACCAGAGAGAGGTTTGATCTCCTTTTGCAAGAGGTTTGTACATCTACAGATATATGTATTATTTTTTTAATTTAAGGTTGGTCCATATCTGCTACATCGCACATATAACTCGTCACTGAGACCACAAGTAAGCCCTGCCGAGAGACTAATTTTAACCCTGAGGTATTTATGTACAGGAAACTCACAAGTATGCTGCATATAAGAACTATAACTTTAATCATTTAAATACATTAATAGATAAGTCTTTCCTTCAATTTTCGTCTGGGTCGATCTACTGTATGTGAAATATTAAAAGAAACATGTGATGCAATATGGAATGCTCTTCATCTTGCATACTTGAAGGCACCATCTACAGAACAGGAATGGATTAGAATCAGTAGAAATTTTGAAACAATGTGGAACTTTCCAAACTGTATTGGTAAGTATCAGTTTCAAAATATTATTAGCTCTATGCATTATTTTAAAAGGAGCCATAGATGGAAAACATATTGTAATCCAAGCACCAATGAATGCTGGTTCCACATTCTATAATTATAAAGGAAAGCACTCAATAGTTCTTCTAGCTGTTTGTGATGCTGGTTAGCATTAAAACTAAATAAAAATATTGTGTTTCATGTATGCATGTAGGAGAAGCTGGACGACTAAGTGACAGTGGCATATTTACGAATTGCCAGTTTGGTACTGCACTAGAAGAAGGATTACTTAACATCCCTCCTGATAAGGCTCTCACAGGTATTTCTTTATCAGTGAACTTATTAAACATTTTTAGGGACTTCTGAACCATCCTTACCATATGTAATCATTGGTGATGAGGGGTTTCCAATCAAGAAGTACCTGTTACGACCATACCCAGGACGTTACCTTAGTAAAGAAAAGTCAATATTTAACTATAGGCTGAGTAGGGCACGTAGAATAATTGAAAACTCATTTGGAATATTAGCGGCTAGGTATGGCAACAAAATAATTATTATGAATGAAATTTATGCATTATATAGATGGCGCATCTTCAGAAGGCCCATCATTGCAAACACTGACCATGCGGTCTCATTCTCTAAAGCTGCTATTGTGCTGCATAATTACATTAATAAAACTGAAAAATCAACATACTGTCCCCCGGGTTATATTGATGGGGAAGATGGAGCAGGTAACATTATTCGAGGCTCCTGGAGAAACGACGAAACTGAAGAGATTGGAATATTGCCACTGGGACTGACTAGTAGCATCAAGCCAGTTCACCTAATTAATAACAATAATAAGCTTGCATTATGTTTGGTTTCTAGGCACTCCAGAGATGCAGCTGATATTAGGGACATGTATTGTGCTTTTTTTAATAGTGAGGTGGGAGAAGTAAGTTGGCAAGAATACCAAGTTCGGCGAACAATTTAAGTCAATGTTGTAACTTTGGAAACAATAAATACCATTAATTTTACTAGTAATTGAAAGATTGTTCATAATGATAATGTTCATGTACTTCTTGAAATTCAACATTTACCAGTACTTGCTGCATTTGTAACATGCAAATAGCTTTTTGTTTATGGGAGGGCCGACGCAAGGTTGCTGCAATATGACGCCCAAAAAGCTCTTCATCATCTTTAACAGCTTGCATCCTAGATGCTTCTATGCCTTTTAAGCTTTCAAGTATGGCATAATCAACATCATCCACCTTTTTGCGTTTCTTAATTGGTGGCGATTGCATTGAACTGGAGGTTGATGCCACTGAAGACGGAGGGGAAATTAAGACACCTTGTGAGCTAAAATTGGATGGAAGTAATGTGAAATAGCTGGATGAATACTTACTTTGCTGAGTCATCAAGTGTTAATTGAGCAGACTCATTATTCTCAACTTCAGCTACAGAAAGATCTGGCTCTGCTGGTTTGGCTAAAGTAACATTACTGACAGTTCTAATAAAACATACAAAATATTAATAATAATGCAATGATGTAACAAACTCACTGTCGATGGCGTACAACATCTTGAACAAACGTAAGTGATTCAAATAGACTCCAATTAGGCTTGTAAGGCGGACCTTCTGTACCAGTGGGTCTTTTGGTTTTTTTGAACTCTCACAAATCTGTCTCTGATGTTCTTCCACCTTCATATGCAATCTTTTCGAGATTCATCGTCATCTTTCCCACTTATCTAGCATTTTTAATAATTACTTGTAACAAAATTAAACTAACCTTTGTAGCAACTTTTTTCCATGCATTTTCTTTAGCCTTGATATCTTTAGACTCCTTGGAGCCCGTTTGTCACAAGCAGGAAAATGATCTTACTGCCTCTATAAGTCCTTCATCAGCCATTATTGATCACGTGAGCATTTTTTGACACGTGAGCTCCTGTATTTCATTTGCCCAACGCTGGTAGTTTAACGCAAGAATAGAGCTTGGCTCTATTTTTGTGTACTGAGACTTACGTTCCGTTTTTCTCTTCACAATTTTTCACGCAAACGTAATTTTTTACCGCAAGCAGGCATAATAGCCTTGCGTCAATATTCTGAACCCACCTTTACCGGCAGTTATGTGGCACTTGTTAGTCTTGACCAAAGTTAATATGGTGTTAACGAGTGAGGTCTGACTTCAAATGATACTCAATAGGTGAAGGGGACAATCCTCTTTGTGAGCACCTGTACCTGTTAGACTTGGTCTGTAATGCATGTTTGTGACAAACATAAGGTATATCATGCATATACATGTACATGTTTATCGCAGTGCATTGTACATGTAGTGCATTATTGGTGCATTTCCTGCATTTTTAGTGTGATATGCATGCAATTTATTCTTTCATAGTTTGATTTATAGTATGTATAATGGAGTTACAAGGAATATAAAAGCTGATGTGATTGGCAATAAAGTTTGTTCACCAGTATTGTTTGCACTATTGTTGTTATTAGCCTGTGACTTTGCTTGCTTTTGATATTGTAATTAAAGCTGGAAATGATTTGATGTTTCAGCAATACTTTGCTCGATATTGGAATGTGCTGTATAAGTAAAGGCAACTCTGGATTTAATTTGTTGCTTTATTAAATGTAAGTTAATCTTTCATTGCAGCTCCTTGATCACTAGTTGTATTACGCGGTAGGAGGTCAGTTTATATCTGTTTAGGGTTCATATTATTGCCGTCTTAGCAATAGTATGTGTAGTAAAATGGAGAGTATGGTGAGATGTCTTATGTATTATGTTATAGGTTATGACTCTTGGTTACATATTGTATATTTATTAATCATGGCCACAGTAAGTACTTTCTTTATTCAATGTAAATGAATGCTTGCCAATGCATCTTTTGTTGTGTGCATGCATGTTCTCAATAACAATACAAAAATAATTATTTGCGCATTGGAATATATTCATATGGTCTATTAATATGTATTTTCACAATGCTGCTTTCATAAAAGAAAGTGAATTCAGGATGGCATGAGTCAGCAAATTAAATGGTGCCTGTCTAAATCAGAGCTTAATATGCATTGTGAAGCTATTCATATCAAATTATGTACATTAACTGTTGCTTAAAGCATGTATGCTATAGTTAATTTGTTACTACTTATATAATTTTACATTCATAATTTACATAGATACGTATTTTACGCAAGGACAGCATTGTAGTGTAAAGGAATAAGGTCAGACATGGATAGAGATTTAAAGGGTGAATGGGACGTACCACTTTGTCAGAACCTGTAATTTGTGAGTGGCTTGTAATGTTTGTTTGTGACAAACAAGTTATACCATGCGTATACATGTACATATTTGATATATCATATATAGCCTGTGCGATTACATTGTTTGCTGTTGATGATGTTTCTTTTTAACTTCACTCTAAAGTTTTTACAGTTGCTAATGATTTAATGATTCCACAATAAGGTGTAATCTATTACTTTTATAGTATGGTGAATGACTAAGGCTATCATCCGCTCAATTTCTGGTAACAAAATGAATTTACTAACAATAATCACCTTTGTAACGTTATGTTTCGTTGTAGCTCCTTGATCAGTGGTGCTTTCACACTGGATTAGGCACCAGTTTCTAGCTGCACAGGTTTCATTTTGCCATATTCTAAGCAATTGAGTACATAGTAAGAGAGATTATTGTGAGATTTCATAGTTTTTCATTGTGTTATAGATTTTGATCAAAGGCTATAATTCTTGTGATTATTTCATTAATTATGGCCATAGTATTTCTTTACTTCTTATGATAAGTATCAATTAAAGCACTGTTAGAGTAGGTTACGGAAATTATTGCACGAGGGGCGGTTGAGAGGAAAATGTAGCACGAGGCAAAGCTGAGTGATACTATTTCGTCGAGACTGTCCTGAGTGCAATAATTTCTGTAAATTAATAGTGCTTTGATTGGTTTGTAGTGGTGCGTGAGCACATCAAATGAAATTTCAAAAGTCGCACAGGTGGCCAGTGCAAGACAATCATATCTCATTTATCACTATTATTATTGTTACATGTCTAGTGTGTGTAGCTGAGGCTGTTATTTGCCTCTATCAAAGCTAGTGGTTAACAGGAAAGCCCATACATATTATACTGTGCAGTACTATATATTCCAAACAGTGCTACATTTTTCTACCAAGCGGTTATTGGAAGTTGTAGCACAGGCAGCGCCTTTGATCCGCCCATGCACCATACTACAAGTTATGTATATCGCGTTGTAGAAGATAGAGGCTCATGCATTTCAATTGTTTAAGGATATGCGATGTAAGCAATAGAGCGATATAGGCTCGCGATAACTTTTACTTTTTATCATAAATAACAATATTTTATAATCGATTAATGACACATGGTCTTACCTTTGCAATAGAGGAAAGGGAAGTTGATGTGAGAGAGTTTTGATAAATTTTACAGGGAAGTTTGCTGTGGTAATAAATGTTACTTGCAGTTTCAGGAAGATTATCTTAGGAGAATTAGGTGAGACATGGAGGAATTGACAAAGGAGCAGCTTGACCAGGTGGTAATGGCTCAGTTAATGGCCACTATAGACAGGAGTGACAGGACTTCAGCCAATATGAAGACCACAAGGGCAAGGATCCAGCATCAAACGGTCTAACTTCATAACATGAAAAAGGTACAAAAATAAAAAATAAATGTTATTATTACAACTTATTATTATTCATACTATTATTATTATTATTATTATCATTATTATTGTGCTAAAAAATAAATAAGGAGGAAAACAAAAATAATAATAACCATAATTTTTATTATTAATTTAGGTGTGTGAAGCCATTTATTTTTATACATGGGATTAAGTACGGGAGGTTGAAAGCATTAAAGAGGCATCTCACTACAGACGACTGGAAACCAAGGTGTGTACTATGAGTGTACAAACAATGCTTACTAATCATTTTATTGAATTGTTAGAGTGCATGTAAACATGGGCAGACTTCCCCACCATGCCTTGTTGGATGAGGATACTGAGAGAACAAAACTATTCTTTTGCAAAAGGTTTGCGCAGGAGAATGGAATTTTGCTGCCAGGAAGAATCCCCGGAGAGAGGGATGATAAAGCAATTCTATTGCCGTCCAGTATGTCAAAACAGTCGATTTATGAGGCATACAAGTCATCGTACGTGGGGCGTATTCTTTGTGAGTCAGAATTCAAACTGACTTGAAAGCTGTATGTCCCTCGCATCGTCATAATGAAAACATTGACTGACCTCTGCTGGATGTGCAGGAAGATCGGCAGGCTTGTTTTGAGGAACGCCAATACCTCACTTGAAAACCAATCTCAGGCCTAAACGTTCCTTATAAAATAATTGAAAATAACTACTGTACTTTTAAAATAAACAGGTGATTCAGAAAGCAAGGGAGCACATTGACCATGCCAAATAAGAGAGGGAGTACTACCAATCTGTTTTGCAGAGGGTGAAGGAGTCAGTGGAGAGGTTGAATGTGGTAGTGGAGAGGCCTGTCAGCAATTCCTGAAATACAATTCAGTTTTGATTACGCCCAGCAGGTACTGTCCTACATGTACAAATTAATTACTTACGGAATGTTATGCATTTTCATTTGTTCTCAACTTGTATTATTCCTTGTTTTTTTAATTTTAGGTTCACTATCCAAGTGACCCTCTGCAACCTGGGCCAATTTGTGACCATAATTGACAAAAGGTACCATTTGGCACATTATTAAATTTATCAGTATAGTATAATAAGTCAACTTGCGCGTTGTTGGTCGAAAAATAGCTTTTTGCACAAACTGATTATAGAGACAATAAGCTATCATTTGATGCCAAAGACGCCACTTTACTCCTTGTAGTTCCTGAGAAAGAAGGTACTAGATCCTCTAGCCATTACTGTGCACGGAGTGCGTCACACGGCCCATGAAACGGAGGTAAACGGGGCATCATGGCGACGATTGGTATCCTAGCAACTTACCATGGTTACAAGCAAATATTAAAAGCGGGTATTGTTTCTTGATGGAAGAAGCAAGGCAAATTGCTCTCTTGTTAAATGAGGTAGGTCATAGGTCAAGCATCACAAGCGGGGTGCTGCTTGAGATGCTCCATGACTATTTCGACGACGAGGAGTCAGGTAAAAAACATTGCACAAGCTATGAATTACATTAACCACACAACAAATACTTACATACTTAACACCTACTTAGCACTACAATCCATACTACTTACCTAAAATAACATTGTTAATTATGATAACAATACAACAATGACAGTAATATTCTAGCAATAAACATTAAACTTTATTATTATAAAAAAACAATAGATGAAGTGATGGAAGATGATAGCAGCAGTGATAATGAGGACATTGATGACGGTGGTGATCTACAAATTAATGGAGAGCTTGAGATAAGTGGGTTGACTGTTATGAGTGATGACTCACCAGGAGACATGGAGATGGAAGTGAGTAATCCTGAGGAGCCTGAAGACATGGAGACGGCAGGAGTGAGAGGGATTCAGGAACAAGTACTGGTACCTGTAGAGGTTGAGAGAGAGGTGGACATAAGGGAGGAGAGGAAAGTGAAAGACTTCCTTCACGCTGGTTGTGGTTGCTCTGACAGCTGATGGAAAAGGTTTGAACCATCTTACTTGACAGCAACCAGAACCAGCTTGTTGGAGCTGTCTTCGCATGAGTGAGATATGGTTCTGATGGGACAGATAATGGCTGGAACACACTGTGGTGAGAGTGCCAGCAACAACAGGAAAACTAACAATAGAGAAAGACAGAGGAACTTCACTACATCACTCATGGGGGAATGAAGGTCAGTCACTTTCTTAAAATAAAATAAAATGAAACGGTACTGTACAGGTGTGTAAAGACACTTTCATGTTTATTCATGGCATT